TGCAGGCTGCAAAGTGGCTTATGTGAAGCACTCAGAAACTCTTAACACATTGTCCCCAAGTTGGTTCTGAATCGTAGAGGTGTTCATTGATTTTCTGAGGCTGTAAATCACACCCAATTTTCTCGTGACAGGAGTCAGTGGATTTGGATTGTAAGTGACCCAGTCTTCTGGTTGACAGTGTCACACACTGTGCACTAGGGCACCAGACATCCCATAGAGAGAGAATATCAGCTCTTTGTAAAACCCATTTCAGTTTAGTTGACCATGACTCATTCTAACCCTACAGGGTAGATTAGAACTGCCCCACAGTTTCCGGGGCTGTCATTCTGTATGGAAGCTGACTGTCTCAACATCACAGAGTGACTGGTGGATTTGAACTGCCATCCTTTTGGTTGGCAGGTGTACGTTTTAACCACTGTCCCACCAAGGATCCTTTGCTTTCTATGCGATCCTTTAATAAAAGGCCTGGATCCATTCTCATTTCAGGTACATTACTTCCCCCCTTTTTAAAATTATTATTATTATTAATTTTAATGAAAATTTACAGAGATTTTGGATTTCCATTCATTCATTGTTGCACTTTTCTCCCTGCCCACCCCTTCTCTCCAATTTGCTCTTTTCCTTGAAAAGTAAAAGAAAAATTCTTTCATTGCTATACAATCCCTCCCCCAAGTCCACTCCACTATGCAGCCTTTGTTCTGGACTCCTATTATGACAGTAATACCTAATCACCCCTTTTAAACAGTTCTCTCTCAGTTACATTACTTTTTTTTTTGTTAGTTCACAGATTTATTCTTTTATTTATTATTATTAAGGCAATTTTAAAAAATAATTTTAATGAACATTTACAGAGAAATTGAATTTCCATTCATTCATTGCTGCACTTCTCTACCCACCCAGCCCTCTCCCCCCGCCCCCCAGTTCGCTCCTCTCTTTCAAAAGTAAAAGACTCCCTCCCTGGTACACAATCCCCCCACACCCCTCCCACCGCCCCAAGTACATTCCACTATGCAACCTTAATTGTGGACTCCTGTGATAACCATAATACCCTATCATACATCGCTTTTAAATTATTCGGTCCCTCATCTGTTTCAGTGCAGTATACACAATTTATCCAGTTTTTCTCAGTCTTACCCCCACCCTGATATCAGTACCATTTTACAGCAGTAGCACCATGTAATATTTGTCCTTTTGCAACTGAGATATTTCATGCAGCATAATGTCCTCCAGGCTCACCCATTTTGAATAATATTGAATGAGTTCTTTGTTTTTCAATGCAGCGTAGTATTCCATTGTGTGAATATACCACAGCTTCTCTATCCATTCGTTTGTTGATGGGCACCTGGGTTGTTTCCAACTCCTTGCTATTGTGAACAGAGCTGCAATAAACATGGGTGTGCATAGTACATTACTTTTAATGTCACTCATTCACAATGCAGTAATTTCTGCCAAAGCAGAATCGACTCACAGCTGACCCTCCTTTGGGTTTCTGAGGCTGTAAATCACGTGCGGTGAGTTCTGGTGGCCCTAGTGGGGAGTTGCAGTGCCATCCCCAAAGAGGGTAGTTTGAAATTACCAGCTGCCCTGTGGGAGAACGATGGACAGTCTCCTTTCGTGTGATTTACAGCCTCTGAAAACCCGCTGGAGAGTCAGCAATGAGTCAGTTCTGACTCGGTGACAATATGTATAAATTGAACTTCAGGAAGCTATTATTTCCAAACACAATGAGATAAATCATTCATTCTGTCAACTGAATTCTCAGTCTTCCTTCTTTGCCTTTTAACTTTCTTCTCCAGGCCAATTTTACTCCTTGCTTATGAAAAGACACCAGTAATATTCAGATCAGTCTCAGCGAATCCTCTCAGTGGCCTCAGACGGCAGTTGCCCCAGGCTTTCTCTCCACTCGCCCACATTGACGCCAGTTCAGAGATTCACTGGTCAGTTCAGGGTCAGCAGTGACAGGGCCTGGAACCCAAATGTGGGGCAGTTTCCAGCCAAATAAATGCAAGTAGAATGTGAATGCAGATTTTCCAGCATATTATTGTTATGTGCTGAAGAGTTGAAACCAGCGCCTAGTTTTCAGAGCCTGTAAATTGCAGAGGAGGAGGTGGCCCATCCTTCTTCTACACTGTGGCTGGTGGATTCGAATTATCTGCCTTAGAGTTGTCCATGCAGCTCCTTACAGCTAAGTCACTTCTTGGGGTTGTGTTCTGTCAAGCCGGAAGTGACTTGACTGACCCGTCTAGCAGATTTTCTGAGATGGTGAGATTGCATAGGAGATTGCCCAGCTTTTCTCCTGAGGATTTGAACCACATGCCTTTAGATTAGCAGTACAGCTCCTTACCACCAAGCCACCAAAGCTCCCAACTAAGCCGGTAAAGGTTGATTTTCAGCATGCTGTTGTTAAGCGCCACTGCGTCAAATACGACCTGTAGCAACCGTATGAACAACAGACCTGAACAGGCCTATCCCGTGACATCCTCACAATCTCTGACACACCTGAGCCCATTGCTGCAGTCACTGTGAGTCCATCTGGTCGAGGGTCGTCTTCTGTTTCACTGACCGTCCATCTTCTTAAACATGATGTCCCTTTCTAGACAGTAGTTTCTCCTCACAACATCCCAAAGTATGCAAGACAAAGTTTTATCATCTCTGCCTCCAAGGAGCACTCTGGCTGCACCTTCTCCAAGAAATATCTGTCTGTTTTTTCGGCAGTCCGTGGGATATTCATACTCTTCTCCAACACCACAGCTCAAAGGCATCACTTATTCTGTCATCCTTCTCTGTATCCAGTTCTCAGATGATAGCAAGTGATTGAAAAGAAGATGGACTAACTCAGGCATGGTGTGTGTCATTATTTGTAGAATTCCCAGTGCTCATGACCTGAGCTTTGTTGCTTTATCTGCAGAGAATAACAAAACCTTGAATTATCTTTACAAATTACATGTTAGATATGAAAGAGAAAATAGTAACTGTATAGCCGACCTCCCTGAAACAAATGCCCCAACTGGCCCCTTCACACACACACACACACACACACACACACACACACCCCTGTTGAAACATTAGGAAGGTGTTTTTTTAATTGGAAAGAAAAAATGGTAGGTATCCTTTGTGAAAAATTTAAATTATTATGGTTAATGCATAGAGATGCCCTAGAGATAAGCAACACTGAATAATAAATTGTGTGCATCAGTACACAACAAATAGGCCAACATATTTTCAGGGCTTACAGGCCCATACTATTTTGGGAAGGAAACTGAGCCCTGGACAGCAGACACAGAGGTGCTGAATTTGTAGGAATGGAGGGAAGGATTGGTAGAGAGAGGTCACTGGCTCCCTTGGGCGTTGTGCATAGTTTCTGGGAATCCAATCTTCTGACACCTGTGAGCCAAAGAAAAAAACCATCCGAAGCTCTGTTTTCTGTTAGTGCTTCCCTCATGATCCCTGGGTATTTGCTTACTTGACAGGTGTTTCTTAAATGCCTTCTGTGTGCCCTGTATTGTACTTGGGATAAAGCAACACAGAAAGAAGGGGAACTTGAGTTCTGTAATCACAAGTTATTGTCTGCTTTGGGAAATTTCTTTGCCGGAGAAACTCACTAAAATGGGCTTTTTCTGCCCATTATTTACCAGCTACATGATTTGTAATGATTAATGACAGATTTCTTAGTAAAAATATCTTGAAGTGTTACAATAGGATTTTTTGGGGGGGCTTGTTTTCTGTGAAGTTATTTTTCTCTTCATAATTCATGCATAGCTTGTGTTAATTTGCGGTTGTGTAAATGTCTTGTTCCTTTATTAGATTCATTCACATCATTCCTTATGTATTTGTATTTGCCATCATGTCTTAAGTATGCTAGAGGCTGAGAGCTGTCCCCTCTCCCCATGTGGACAGCGATAAGGCTTCAGCTTCTTTTGTTCAGTGGGCGATGATTCATTGCTTCGATGCCCCGATATCTCTGTTTTGTCTGGTGTCAAACCTTCAGAGCCAACGCTGGGACATGGTCATGAGAAACCTAGATCTGGGTCCTAGAGCACACGGCTGCTGACTTGTCACTGCTTGTAGGCCCTCGGTGCACAGCCCAGAGTGTGTGAGTGTGCATGTGTGTTTGCAGGTGTCAACACGTCTAATTTTTTTTATATACTTCTATGCAGGTATACTCTGACTTGTCATGCATTCTAGGGAGCTTTGGTGGCCTAGTGGTAAGAAGCTGTGCTGTAGTCCTGAAGGCACGCTGTTCAGATCCACAAAATGCTTTGTGGGGGCAAGATGGGCAGTTGCCTCTCGTAGGATTAACTACCTCTGAAAACCCCCTGGAGGGTCAGCTGTTGGTCAGTTCTGCAGTAAACAACAAAAGCAAACAACAACATGATATGTCCTACTTCTGATCAACTACACTTATGATTGCCTTTTTTTTTGGTTCTTATTGTTAAGGATATAACTATATGTATTAGTTTGTATCTTGGCTTCTGTGTAACGTTTTCAGCCCTCACAGATAAGATCAATATTCTAAAGATACTGAGAATACAGAACAAATGACTCATTGCTGCCAACTGGGAACTGACTCAGAGCTGACCCTCCACAGGGTTTTCAGAGGCAGTTAATCGCACGAAAGGAGACTGTCCACGGCTTTCTCTCAGAGCAACTGGGGGATTCGAACCTGCTTTCGGTTGGCAGCACAACTTCATCCTCACGGGGCCCTCAGAGCTCCCTGATACTGACGATAATAAAAGGCACCAGTAATAGAAACGTCATAAAATGCAAAGTACCTGACTCTTGAAAGAACTGTCAGAATAAAGCTGCATTGTAAGCCGGGAACAACCTTTCTATGGAAATGTGTCATTTTGAGTTGCTTTAACCCATGAAGTAGATTTCTAAGTGGACACAAATGTGTGCTGTTTTGGTGATATTTTCTTTTGCGTGTGCGTATATGAGGCTTGCTTTTTTAAATTTTTCTGCTAGTTTATTTACTTTCTCTTTTTTTTAACAGGTGGCTAAACCCTTTGTTTAAGATTGGTCATAAACGGAGGTTAGAAGAAGATGACATGTACTCAGTGCTTCCCGAAGATCGCTCCAAGCACCTTGGGGAAGAACTTCAAGGGTAAGTGTGAGGGTGGAGAGACGGGGTTTTTGTGCCTGTGGCCAAGGGCCAAGGGCCAGCTTAGCAGGAGCTTTGCCTTCCCTCTTGCCTCTGTCCCCTTCCTCCTTCCTAGGGCCCTTCTGGAGACCACTTCCCTTGGAATTCGGTGTTCCCTTAGGCCTGTATCTGGTGTTAACCTATCTAAGTGGCCTGGGGAAAACGGTATTTCAGAGGGTAGGGAGCTAGCCGCAAAGGCCCTGGATGCTGGGAATTTGTGTCAAGGGGCTGGGATCAGTGGGGGAAGCTGTGTGGCTTGTCTGCCATCCTGGGCGTTTGGTGGGTTAAGTCCTGCAGAACTTAGCTGTGATGTGTTCCTCTGACAACTGGAGATGTTTCCTTAAGGCCTTTCCCCCAGGTGCTTGAAATTCCCAGTGGTGCATATTCCAGATGCCCTGTAGACAGTTACCCTGCCTTTCTGGAACTGTCGCAGAGTGCCTGTGATAAACGCTTATCTCTTCCACTGCTGCCTCTATTTGCCACATGGCAGAGCTTGCTGGTTTTGTTTTTTTTTCATTGTGTTTTATTTCTCATTGTAGGTACTGGGATAAAGAAGTCTTACGAGCCGAGAAAACCTCACAGGAGCCTTCTTTAACAAAAGCAATCATAAAGTGTTACTGGAAATCTTACTTAATTTTGGGCATTTTTACATTAATTGAGGTAAAAGCTTTTACATACCGAACTGTTTTTTAGACACATAGGAACGATGCTAACTAGAATTGCTATTAAAATAAATGAGGCCCTTGGTTAGAAAGGGTATTAGATAGAATTTGAAAGTGTTTTAAGATGTTAGGAGAAAATATATCCAGGAAGCATGTTCAAGTTTAGTTCTTGCATTTATCTTTAAAGGGGGTAAATACTTAAAAGAATTGAATGACTGAAGCTCAGGGGAGGGTTATTATTTTGAAACTAATTAAAATACAGTCCTGTGAGAAGATAGTGCTGAAAATACAAGGCATTTCCTACCACATTAAGGCAGGAGAGTAATCCTTGACCAGAAGATCTACAACATCACGGAATGGATATGTGCTCTGTGGTTTGGACAACATGATTTTGGACCGGAGCCTAGAGTAATATAGGCCATTTTGCAAGTGCTTATGAAGTTGTTGTCAAATGGACCGTGCCAGATCTGATACATGCATTCCTAAGAAGACATTGGCACTTTCCCCCTCCTGGGGATACAGAAGCCAGCGCACCGTGCCCAGATGGCTGGGGTGCCCCAGAGGCTGGAGCAGGCTGGAGTTCCCAAAAGCACACATCTCTTCCAGCTGTGCCCTGCAGCGGTGGACCGAGCACTGGGAACTTCCCTCTCTATCTGGGGGAGGCCCTGGCTTCAGTGTGAATTCTGATCTAGATGCCATAACCACCCATTGGGGATATTTGGCACTGGTTGTCGGTGTGTGTGCTGCTGGGAAGGTGGGCTCTTGGTCTCGAGTCTCACAGGGAGAGCAGATGTGATGTATAGTGGAAGACTGAAGGCAGAAAGCCGTGAGCCGGTTTCTCCCTGGCCTTGATAGCTTTCATCATGGTCCTGTAGGAGGATGCTGTTGCTCCACGGGGCACAGTAGAAATTGGCTCCCCAGTTTTAGACTTTTCTGCTGTCGGGGATGCTGGAAACCCTCCTGGGTGACTTGGACGCTTCTTAGCACGTGGTCCTGATTGGATGTGAGAGACGGATTCTGTAGTTGCTTGCAGGGCAGCAGTAAGTTGTCACAGTGCATTTTGCATGGGTGAGGTGAGTAGGCGTGTATGCGGGAGATGCAACTCTTGTTTAAAATGCTTTGTGCATATTGGTGGTCCTTCTGGTCAGTGCGTCGGTAGGCAGGTGAACTTTGCTCTATAGAAGTCGATACTCTTGATTTTGTCAGTCAGGGGCTCTGTCAGGTAACAGGTTACTGGACTGTCCTGGGATATTAAAGTTCTCCTGATGATAAAGGTGTCCTGGCCATTGCGCCAGGCAAGTGTGCATATCAGGTGACCCCTTTAGGAGGACACTCCCTATCACCTGGATACTACCGGGGCCTGGCTAATTCACCCAGAGACTGCCATGGCCTGGTTAATTGGCAGGTGGAAGGTGGTGGCTGGTGGGCTGACATCCAGATGGGAGAGGAGGCAGGAGTTCCTATAGGATTCTAATGGTTCTTGGAAATGAACACGGTGGTAAGGTGCTGTCTCTGTGGCCGGT